CTAGCATGGGGTTCAGGCGATCTCGGTGGACCCTGAGTTGTCACATTTGATTGCGCGATACCTGGGACTTCATCCGAGCCAATGGACGATTCACTGGCGTTTGAGCGATTCGATCGGTGAGGAATGAGTTATGTGGTGACGGGCCGCTCCGTGCGAGCCCTTGACGTCAATTTCGGTGGATTTGGAGTTGGATAGGCCGATTTGGTGATTTTCGGTGCGCTTGCCTTATTCTTTCCACTTTCGCACCTTTGTCCCCTCCTATCACCCACATCTCCCCAAACTCGCTCGCTATTGTCGGCCTCAATAAACTCGACTCCATAAGGTGGCACTTCTCCTGGTCACAGAGAACCCAAGCTCCTCGTCTGTGAACCCGATGTGAACTCCCTCTCCGGGCAGCGCTCCCATCCTTTCCTGGAATTTTTCCGGGACGCGGGCATGCACGGCGTATTCGAAAAGTCGGAGAGACGCAAAGTTGGCCTCTTTCTGAAGTAGACCCTACGTGGGGTCTTTTCTCCCTCAGGAGCACGGGTCAGGACTCGGTTCTTGATCCAGGCTGCATGTCGGATGGCGAAATTCCAGAGGTTTTGCGAAAGTTACTTGCCTTTCAGCGCTACTCTGGCATCTTCGAGCATGGATCGGGTACCATTGTCCAAAGTGCGGCTTGCTCACTCCGCAACACCGTCTTTTGCGGAATGCGTGTTCACGATTTTATGTTTGATCCCTTCTTCGGCAAAGAGTTCCTCAAACGCTTTGGACTCGTACTTTCTGCCACCGTTGGTCCGGAACACTTTGGGTTTTCGGCCAATCTTCTCAGCTCAGCTTTCCACCTCCGGAAGAGCTCTGGGGTCTCATCTTTCGACTTCGTAAAACTGACGCGTGTATAACGGTTGTATTCGTCAGTGAATGTCAGCAAGTGGTCTATCTGAAGCAGCAAAGCCCTCAACTCGCGTTGAAACATGATTGGGACCGCACTTAATACTGTCGGTAGCAACTGAGTTTCGGATTCTGCGCTTCCCTCTATTATCCGCCGTTCCATTCATCACTCAGGTTCATAGTATTAGACCATCTGGCGGGCCTCTGTCTACGTCAAAGTTGAAGGACTTTCATGCTGGTCCGTTGGTTTCTAGAGCAGGCGAATGATGGACGATCGACATGGATTACAAGTGATACATGCCCGGGTCTGAGTGGCAGGCGAGTTTAAGCACTACCGAGTGATAAGCATCCGTGATGCAGTCGTTAGGAAGCCATTGGTCTGAGAACTGGGATTATTTATTTGTACTGGAAATGATAAATAAATGTACGAAACAAGCTACTCTCAATGCTGGCTGGGTTCCATACTACTGATTAGGCTCTGGACTGCCAACTTCATGCGACGACGAAGCTCTGCCACCTCTCCAGGATAACACGCAGGATTGGCCAAGTTTGCAGCCTGCACCTTGTTAAAATCATTCCGGAAGTCTTTGAACTCCTTGCGGTGAGTCTCTGCATAATGCAGGATGATGGACTTCGCAACACCTGCTGTGTCCTTTCTATCTGGACGTGGGTGGTACATCAACGCCATGAACATCGCGGAAAAGATTTCTTTGGGCTCGGGGTCTCCCCTTATTGGATGCCCAGAGTGCACACGTTCTTGCGAGTCGTGCACGAACGCCGAAAGCAGAGCGGCCACTGTGTCGCACCTATCAGAGGCTCCTTCCCGTTGCGACTGGAGGAGGCGATCCACCCAACTGGAGTGGAAAGACCGTGTCATGCACCGAGAGGAGAGGAAAAACGATCCATGCATGAGTGCCCCAATGCTTGGCTCCTCGTGCACTTCGCATTTCGAGAGCGTGAACACGAAATGAATTTGACCTGGAGCCATAATGCTATCGCCAGACGTCAGGAATGTGAGATCGTCCAAGGGGGAAGAGAGCCTTACAGCGTTTGTCCTGGACAAAGAACGAAATACCCATACCGATATGGGAGGTGGAATAGGTACTCCAAACCGATGGCTCCTCCAAAGTCGATGTCGTCGAACTTCACGATCAAGGGATCTGGATGCATATTCACTGGGAAGAAAAGGAGCTTGTACCCTGCATAGCAGTGCAGGATTGTGCCAACCCCATCCGGATCTTGATGGGGTGCTGTATAAGATCCCGCTGCGGCCAACATCGGAGTCCTCCAAGTCGGGTAATCTTCTGGAAGATGTCCCTCATCCATGCTGTTGAACATGAGGTCGTCAAAAGTGTTGAGGAGGCTGAGAATTTGAAATGAGAAATAAGTACACAAGGCAGGCACCTCCCTACCTTTCCACTGGAAGACGTATAACCCCCTTAAGGTGATGCACCACCAATGGCCGGGACGTCTTCCAATTGGAGATTTCATGTACAACTTTGTCCAGTGGCTCCCATGTGGTCTTCTCGTCGTCCTCACCGGTTCGAGAGTGATCCGAATCTGGAGGGTTGACAGTGCCGGCATGATCTGGTAAAAGTAAAAGTAACTTACTGAAGCATTCGACAACCCCACCTTTGCTCTTGAGGGAGAGGAGGTCGTAGAGATCCAACTTGGGCGTATTTCCAGGGGGGCCAACCATCAGAACCAGGCCCTCGTTGTTGACGATGGATTGGAAAGTACTTGAAGGCATGGTGAAGGCTTCAGCCTCCATCATAGTGCGTGGGCGCCAGTCGGTATCCAATGCCTCAGACTCCAGTAAACGTGAGAGTTTCTTGATGGGCTCCTGGGAATATAAGGGCTGATAGTTGGCCAACCAAAGGGGGAGATGTTTTAAACTCACCGAATCAGGATAGTGGGGGAAGCCGAAGTCGTCCAATACCCATTTGTATGTGTTGTGACTTTCAGTGGAGGTGCATGGGAGACACATTGTGTTGAGGGCCTTTAGATGTATGATGAGAACGAGAGAGGAATCAGTGGGATGCTAGACGCACCTTCAGTCGTGGGGGAAGGTTGTAGGAGGGGGAAGGGGAGGAAAAGGAGGGAGAATGGTAGGAGGGGGAGAGAGAGGAAGAGGAAGGCGGAGCGATGAGTTTAGGCCAGTGTTCTTGGAGGTCCTCAAGATCAGGGATGCGGAACTCAGATATGAAGTTGCGCAAATCACCGTCACCCTCCGGTTCCGGAATAGAGCTCCCCCCCTCAGGGCCTTCCCCGCCAGTCGAGTGTTTCCCCTTCCCTTTCCCAGTGCGGTGTTTGTTCGCTGTCCTGGGCTTTTTGCTCTGCTTGCTGGACTGCTGCTGCTGGGAACGCTTGCAGGATCTTGGGCCCAGTTCTGCAGCAGTCTGTTGATGAGGATTGGGAATGGGGGAGGATGGGGGAGGACTTGCAGCGATCTTGACATGCATCCGTGCATGTTTGAGGACTTCGAAATCCTGTAACACTAGCTGACCTCGCTTACACGTCTCCACTACCACGTGAAGGATGGCACTTTCCATCACCACCTCTGCATCAGACATGGAAGGGAAGCTGGCCCCCTTGCAGATGTGGTTGGCTAACGACGTCCATGTTGGCAGACAGCCAGGTTTCGTCATCGTTGTGCCGATTAAAAGGGTGAGGGGGGAAATGCAGACGGCAAGGGCCAACGGTCCGATTATGGCAGAACTGCAGGCACTTTGTGAGTTAGAGAGTGGCAGGTGGCAAATGCCCTCCTTACCCAGAGGATTTTTTCTCCCATGTGATACTTTCATTCTAGGAAACCGTCATCTCTGAGAAAACGGAAATGATAGCAGCCAGAGAGAGACTTACCAGAAATTCCGAGGAGTCCAGAATGCGACGGAGGCCCCATGCAGCATAGAGAACGTTGGCTGCAATTTGATGCCATCTGGAGGCATCCTGACGCGATTCTGCCTCCTTTAGAAGACTCGCAGCATTGCTGCTGCTGGATGGTTCCTGCGCTGTCTGAGCAGGGACCGAGCTCTGGATGTCATTTTCAAGCGAGTCATCGAAGAACGCGAGACGGGACCGCAGCTTCCAATAGGAGATGTTGCGCTTATGTTCATCAGCCAAAGAGTTTTCTTGTGGACTAATGGGCATGGTGATTGGGGTGGGGTATGCGCCTCTAGGTGAGTGCTGCATCCACATCACTGCCAAGCGAGTCTTAAGGAGTCCGAAGAAGACAGCGTGGAACATCATCCGTGCAGGAGTTCCTCGGAACCTGTTGGATGATTCGAGGGACGGAGAGCGTTCGGACATCCCAGCATATTCTTTGTCTTTCTTCTCTGTAAGGTGCGTGCAATATTCCTGCCACTCATGGATTCCGGATTCGCAAGCATGGACGATTCCGGCGGTTAGCTCTTCCAGTGGAGGGAATGAGACATTTCGATGGCTTTCTAAGTACAGTTTGATTTGGGAAAGTTGTGGAGGCACCCAGTCATGGTCCCAGACGTCAACCGAAGCCATCGAAGACAAACGAGGAAAATGGGAATGCGACAAACACAGTACTACGGTTACTCAGCAGGGCCAGGTTGAACTTTCGATTATGGTCGTGACTCGGGACTTTGTGAACTGCTACGCTTACAGCAAGGTGCAAAAAAATCGACGCGCCCAATGTGAATGAATGTCCGTGCAGGTCATGTGATTATCCACAAATGGCAGAAAATAAATGATGATCGACTTGCAGTTTCCTAAATAGGGTTGGTCACATGATCTGATCGACCATTCATCCAAATCTGTTGCGCCGTTTGTTTTGCACCTTGCTGTAATGGAGGCACGAGATTAATGTGCGCTGGCCTCAGCGTCTCAGTCATTCTTGGGGTATCTGCCGTGCCCTTTGCTAGGTTTGCCGTCATCTGTACGCATTATTCAATGCCTGATGTATTACATAGTACTTATTCCAGGTGGGTTGAAAGGCTTTATTTCCCACGCGAAGCCAAGCTTGTTTGCCTACCCATCTATCTAACATATAAATAATCGTTTCTGTCTGACCGACGGCTCCTGATCGGCTCCTTCCCACTGCTTTCCTATCATGCTGACTACGGAGCGGCCTTTGCCCTGTTGTAACTTCTGCCATCCCCAGTCTGAACCAGTTCTCGGTTGTCTTAGGCAAGGGTTCTTAACTGGTGTGGTCTTCAGTGGTTCGTCCTTTGTGCTCATTCATGTCTAACCACACTGAAGCGGTCCGTTCACGAAGTCGGCGTGCTCTTGAATCATCGAGCGTTGCGGGTTTACGTCGCCAGCGGGATCGCCTCTCCAGGCAACGAAGACGCGCGAGTGGTAACCCACCTGCTTCTTCATCCACTCCCGATCATGCCAATGGATCTGATGGCTCTTTGGCACCCATCAATCCTTCCCTCAGCCGTTCCGAGCACTGGCGGCTTTTTGCCTCTCATCAACCCAATCCTATTCTTTCACGATGGCGGTCAGTACCGTGTCAATACTGTGGTGCGCTCCTGCTAGAAAGTGAATATTTGGGTTGGTGTTGTCGAAATGGCCCCAAAGTGCTGCCTCCTCTACGACCTTTGCCCGATTTTCTCGCTTCGGTTGCAAATAATTTCCCCACAGATGCTGGTGAAGGCTCCCGATCACTGAACTATCTCTTCAACCTCAGTGCACAAGGAGTATCCGGTAGGTTTCATTCATTCCAAGGTGTGTTTTTTTAGCTCCACTGGTGATCTATCTTGACTTTCTTTTATTCTTTATGTGTAACGGGTCGAACATATCACCGCATCATGCCGAGCCTTCGAGCTGGCCATCCCACAAATTGGTTCCTCTACGATCCTGGTGGCGGCACTGCAGCTGCACTAAAATCCAATATATCTCTTACGGTTGTTAACGGTATCCGTGAAGAATTGTGTGCCGTTAATCAGTTGTTCCACAGATTCCGTGATTTTAGTCTTTTTCAGCCACATCTGGAGGATGTCTCTATGCAACTTCAGGATCCAGGAACATCGAATGAGATCGCGGCAGTCTACACACTTCACATCGGCCCCCTTCCTGCAGTCACTTGGGCCAGCATACGAAACCTGCGATCCAGTATCCCCGATCTCCACGTCCTCATCAGCGTTCTCAGTCATTCCTTGCCCAGGAGGTCTTTTTTTTCCAACTTTTTTTCGCAAAGACCCAGCGGGCGCCTTTCCCTTACCCTTATTTTCAGGATCGGGCGGTCCCATCGGAGCTCCAAACAAACGTTTCCGTTTCGAACTTGGTGCAGCAACGTTCGAGACGTCGGAGTCAGCCGCCGTGACAGGTAAAGCACCCAAGTATGTAATGTTCTCAATCATCCAGTGAGTGCGTTTGGCAGAGTCCGTCATCCATTTTGCCTGGACGCTTACATTAGAACCCGGGCGGGGAACACGAAAGTTGTCGAAACGACGATTGGAGTCATCAAAGTGTAGGCGCGCTTCGAAGCGCAACTGCGCCTTATCTTGAAACAAAAGTGAGTAACTTGTTAAGCTCAACCGAAGTTATCTACCTTTGCACTATACGTGCCCACGTTTAGTCCAAATTCACGCGTACTCCCATCTGCAATCGTCGTCACTTGACCAACAAAGTGAGCAGTCGCTAGTCGAGCACTCGATGGCTCAAGTTCGTCAGCCCGAATCCCGATGTTCTCTACCGTAGTTGCGTCGATAATCATATTAGGGCCGTCGATGGCTTCTTGACCTTCGTTAATGATGATCAAAGCGCCGGCCACATATGCCACTACGTCCTCCTCCGCATTGTCTTTCATGGGCGATTGAGTGTAGACTGACAGCCCAATTTCACACACGTTCGGTTCATCCGTAGATCCTTCCCCCGCCAAACACATGACGAAAGTCGATCTCACACCGTCTAGCATAGCACCTGAGCGCACTGGGAAGATTCCACTGATTGAACTGGAGGCCATTACACAGCGAAGAGTAGTAAGTGAGGAGTAAGTTTGTTGATACTTTGCTGGATGCATTCCGCAAGTCCTAAATTTCTGTTTTATACACCTCAGACCGACCGCGGTTGATTCATTCCACGTTTGACCCGCGATCCCTATTCTCACAACCGTTGGCCCCAGCTTTCATATCCGCTGCGTTGGGTGTCGCACTCGTAATCCGTCCACACCCGCGTTCGGTCGATTCATGACTTAGCCACGATCCACCTTTCAACCCCTCATTTCACTCCGCGTCTCACTCGTGATTTCCCCACATCCGCGATCGGTTGATGCATGACTTAGGATCCATCTTCCAACTTCTCATTAAACAAATACCCAATCCTTTAAACGAAATAGACATAACCATTTTTCACCACCCGTCGTATCTACGTAACTAAATCCCTCACTCGTTGTGTCTAGCAAGTCCCGTTGATGTCAACCCAAAAGTCTCTTGTATACTACATTCGCCACGTCTGATTTTGACCCGGGCAAGAACAGCATCGCATGGGATCTATGTCGCACACGGCTTAGGGCAGTGTATAGTTGCCCATGTGCGAAGACATCTTCCCTGCAATCAATCACCATTCGATCCGGAGTCAGACCCTGGCAACTGTTAAACGTAGTGGAGTAAGCTAACTTGAGTGGGAACTGTTTTCGACGGACTGTATATTTTGCATAGTTCGGTTTAAAGTCGAAGTTGATTCGGGGGATCAGATGTGTTCTTCGACTCTCAGACTGTCGATTTAAAACTTGGACTTCGATCCAACGTGCCGTGGAATTAACAATAAGAACGCGTTGATTCTTGACCAAACCCCTAGGAACTGAGAGGTTCCTCATCAACGCACAAACCGCGCCTCGTTTTAGTCTCAACTCGTGGTTTGGTGCTTCATTCGAGGTGATCATAGCCAGATAGTCGGGGTCCGCTGCAACATGGTCATCGTTGATAGTACCATCGTCGTCCACTACGGAGTCGTAGCTGAAGTGGATTGCTACAAACTAAATTGAAACGAAATTTACTCAAACGGTAAAGTACTCACATATGTTACCTGGTAGCCTCTCCAGAATCGCCGTGTTGAAGTCTTCAACTAAGGCATTTAACGGGGTCAGAAACGCTCTCTGCACTGCAGTATGCGGCGCGGATAGGATCTCGTCCGGAAAGAGAAACGATTGGACTGAAGACATGTCCTCAGTATGTGAAAAGAAGGTAGAAAGATCAAGTCGAGTTCCTCTGCCGGCTGATAACAGTGTGCACCCCCGACATGGCACCTGAGATGCTGTACCTGCATGCCCAGTACCCTTCCCCACCCACCTGTGCATCCTCGTGTTCTGGGTCGGCGCACCATGCTTGTCCAACCGTGCCTGCCCCACCACCATCTTACTAGTTGTACCGTGAACGTGTTGTAATTTGAATAAAAAAATGAATAGGATTGTTGTTGGCAACATTGGCACCATCAGCAACGCGCTAAACTACTACGTAGGCGTGGGAAATGAGGTTTCGTGGCAGAAGAGAATATGAGTTCGAAAACAGGCAACATACATGCTCAAAAAGTGGGCCTCAAAACGGGCATCATCAAAAAACAGGCCTTAAAAACTGGTCTTAAAAACAGGCCTCAAAAATGATGTCAAAAAAAGACCCCTAAAAGTTCGCAAATTTCACTTTCATGTTTCATGCACAGCATCCTGGTGAATAATGTTACGGTATATGCTCCATGCCAAATGTCGCAACGTCGCGACAGACGTCACGTCAAGCGGAACATGAAGACAGACGACGTATTATTACACGTCGTCAGTCCTTACAGTATCTAGCCATCATTGGTATCGGTGTGACGGCCGCTATAAGCAAGGGATACGTTATTGACGTGCAATGTCGTTATGGACGGATCTTCCAATAGGCTGAGGGGCTTTGTAACGGCAAGCGTCCATGTGGATGGATCACGCTTGCCCTCTCCAATCACGTCACACAGAGCAAGGGCACCTGCTGGGCCTGCCTATTACCTATTTTGTCAAAATCGCTCAGGGAGCAAGGGAACGTGGGCCCTTGGTCAAGCCTATATTATTCATTCGGCAGACATTATGAATTAATGCATGAATCAGATTAATCACGGAGCCTAATGGACAAATCATCCATGACTAGTTCATACTCCCCCGTCCCTGGCACAAACGATATAGACTCTGAATGGAACATCCCTCGACGTACAAGAAGATCGTCAGGACTGCAACGAGCTTGAGATGCCAGCCACATAAAAAGATCGCGGATCAGAGGATCAGAGGGCAAAGGCAACGAAAAAGAGGGTAGTGGTTTCGATCGTGCATGCCGAGAGATCACTTTTTGGAACGTTTCCACCGTCTTCACATGAGCTCTTGCCGCACCCTCGATCTGCAGCAAGCCATCTCTACGGTCGTCTAGCAAACGGAGGAGCAATGCAGGCGAGAATTGATACCTGGACATCGGGATTCCTGACTTCTCCAGCCCAGTGTATTTATGAACCTGACGAAGGACGCCCTGGAGCACAGGATCATCGGCTCTGACGATGCTAGGATGAGCAGAAGGTCCATAGGCTGCATGGAACAGTTGGTGTTGTGTGGACTCCTTCCGAGTGTCCCATCGGGCACGGTGATCCGACAAAGGAATCAGTGCCCAGCCCTTGCTGTTGCAGTACCCGTCTGTTTCTTTCTGGTAACTCACTCGTCGAGCCTCGAGGATTCGAGTAGGACGGTTCGTCCATTCACGATAATGTCGCTCAGGGTCCTTGACCCCAGCCATCGGTGCAGATTCCCCAGCGAATATCATGTAAGCCATGAACTGATGCTTATAGACCCGTAGCGCATCGCTCTTGGATGGGAAGACAAAACATGCTTCTTGTAGCTCTTCGTCCCAATCCCATAGGGTGGCGCGTGGGTGGTACCGACGGTACAGCGTTAACTCTACCTCCATGGGCGTTCCCTTCAGCTCGTCGAAGATCATGGAGACGACCCTGGGGCCTTCATAACCTTTCCATGCCATCAAGTCCACTTCCATTGAATACTCTGCTTCCGCACGTTCCACAACTAGGATGTTGGGGGATCGGGGAAGCGCCGACCGTAACGACACTTGAGATGATGATGTGGGGGGATCGCAGTCTATCATGCCTGAATCATCTACGCCCTGATGCTTCTCTCCACCACATAATTCATCCTCCCCATCGAGGTACAATAAGCCCTCGTCCTCTTCACTACATAATTCATTCTCCCCATCAGGATACAAGTCCTCCTCCACTAACATCGTTCGTCTCGCCCATTCCTCCTCATCTTCCTCTAGCTCGTCATCCAACTTGACTTCCAACGGCATCCACACACGGAAACCCCTTTGTCGACCCCTTCGCATGAGAAAACAGGCACTCTCCCTCATGGTTACAGGTGCTATGACGCTTTCTCCATTCGCTACCAGCGTACTCGACAGGACAGGGCTGCAAACCCTCACCAACTCTTTGTACAGGGTGTCAACGGAGAATTCCTCCTCCAAGAAGGCCCCATAGGCCCTCATGCACTCCTTCAACGCACCCGAAAACCTCTTTGAATCCCCTTCATGGTACCACATTCCCTGACCATCTGGACCCGAAGGATGACCACTTCGTCTCCAGTAGCGAGTGCTGATAGGAGGCAAACGACCCCCAAGAATGGCCTTCTCAAAGGATTCCAGAAGAATTCGGTGGGCCAGCTCTTCAGGAGCAGAAGGAGCTTCTTCCTTGGCCATCTCCAGGCATTCCCTCCACTCCTCCGTACTCTCGATGGCATCTGTCGGCCAAGTCGAGAGGCAAGGTGGATCGCAGCGAGCGAGCCAGGCCGGAGCTCCAAGGAAGGCTGCTGCCTTGGCGAAAGCGACAAAGCTTCGATCCGAAGCATCGAAGATCGCACCCAGCATGGACCTCGAGGTAGGGAATGACGGGAGGCAATGGCCAGTGATGATGGCAAGTGCGACCAGGAACGTTCGATGCGATAGTTCTATCCACCCTTGCAGATCCTTGAACCGTCGATAAAGTTCTTCTATTGTGAATTTAATCTGGAAGTCCTGACGTGCAATCGCCAAGTAGCTCAGCCGCCTGTCGATCTCCTTTGGGTTGTGCCAATCATGGCTCAAAGAAACAGGCAACGCCAAGCCAGGGAACTTGGTATATAGTCGTTCCAATATGTCGATGCGATTTCGCTGTACGTTCCACTCGTCCTGTATCCTTTGCAACCACGAGGGGGACACTTGTCGAAAGTGCGTCATCGTCCGATGAGGGGTGATGGCAGGCATGGAATCCTGGAGAAAAGAAAAGCCAAATCCATCCATGACGTAGGGCCGAACGAATGCACGATGAAACACAGCCTGGGGGTCATGCCGCACGAACTGGGCGCGCAACGTCCATTCGTTCTCCCCTAGCCGGAACTCGGCATCCATATCATAGTCAGAATAATCATGATGAAGGAACGAGGGGTCTGTTGGGATCTCAGGGTACTCCCATGCCACGTTACATGACATGATGGTATAATCGACCCTCCAAACGAATCGCCTTATTCGTGAGTACCTCGCATGAGCGTTGCTCGTCCGATAGTAAGGAGAAACAAGTGGAAGAAGTGTGCGATGGTCACCATATTGCGTTTTTGCGATGGCAGGGATCGTTCGTTCCCTGCGATCCCAGGTAACGCGGAGGCGGTGATTAGGGTCTTCCATAAGCCTGAATTAGCCCTTGCTAGCCATGGTATTGACAGAATGTTGACACGATGGGATACGTCTTTGAACTACTTTTTACGTACCACCGTTAAGGTTGTCTATAGAAGTGCCGAAACCAAGGTCATGTGCAAGTCAGCCATGCAGTCTTTCAGCGCTTCCTTCCACAAAACGAAGGCCTACTCAGCACATCGCAACCAAGCCCCCTGAGCTAGTGGCTGCATGGCCAAGTACAACCCCCCTGGGGTGTACTTGTTCGAGAGACTATAGTATTATAAGGGTCTCGGATCGCTCGGCTAATTCCACGAAATCCGGTTGGTCAACCTGACCGGATCCGTTCGAGCGACGCCGCGATCCGTTTCCGTCGAGGATCCCCACGTCCTCCATTCAAAGGAAAATCGATTCACAGCCGGTGTTGTCCCGTTCAGTGGACACAGTGGTGAAACGAGGGAATGTGTAACGGAATAACCGCTTGCTCTAATGCTAAAGCTCAGTCTCAAGCTAATGCGCGAGAACTATAATATTACCTAATGCTGAAGCTATAAGGTAATCTATAATGAAGTCAGGTTGAATGTATTGTTTGAGAGTTAATTATATAAGCTTTTCCCGCGCTCAAGCCTGTTGGTGGCATCTTGCCATTGCGCTGGATAACCTGTGGTGAGACAATAATAACGAATGGAGAGGACGTTGGCATGAACCCATTGCAAAAAACCCCATGCAAAACGGTTGAAAACTGAGAGTGATATGGGGTGTGGCCCATGCCAGCGCGTGTTTTGAGTGTGGGAAAAGTGTCCACGGCCTCATACAGGCTGTTTGATGACTAAAGTTAATAATACGGTATAGAGAGGCTGTTTGAACGAGCTCATTGAGAAAAACTTGACGAAAAACGAACAAGATTTGACAGAGATACGAATGTACATGTGTTTTTGTGTGAAAAAATGTGAAAAACATCCCACCGCCTCATACACCCTCATTCGCGATGTGCGCCAATAATATAAAAAAATGAGGGCGTTGGTACAAGCATGTACAAAAAAGAACGACGAAAAACGAATGATAATTGACTGAGATACGAATGTACATGGTGTTTTTGTGAAAAAATGTAAAAACATGTCCTACCGCCTCATACGTGCTCATTCGCGGCTTGCACCAATAATGGAAAATTACCAGGGAGGTAGTCCGAGCCCATCAAATGAAACCCGACGAAAAACGAATGAGAATTGACAGAGATACTAATGTACATGGTTTATTTGTGGAAAAATCGTGCTACTTCCTCATACACGCCGATTCACGACTTGCACTAACAATATCAAATGTAAAGAAAGTTAATTCGGGCCCATTAAAAAAAACCCGACGGAAAACGGTCAAGAACTGAGGGAGATACCAATCCAGTGTCAGCTCCGGGGGTGATCTGTGCGTGGGAAACGTTCTCCAGCACCTCACAGGTGTTTTAAAAATATGTAAAAATGTCAAGTACTTGCGTTAATAATATTTAGAGTAGCATGCAAATTTTCAAAACAGTTGGTGCAGTATCAAGCGAGATATGATAAATTATTCCATTAAATTTCACTTGGCACCCTCAAGATCGCAAGATATCAGGTTGAGGTAATAATACACATTGTAGAGGGCATTGACACGCGCCCGTTAAAAAAATCCCGAAGAGAAACGAATAAGAACTGACAGAGATACAAACCAGTGTCAGCTCCGCGCATGATCTGTGCGTGGGAAACGGTCCCCAGCACCCTACAAATGTTCTAAAAATATGTAAAAATATTCTGTACTTGCGTTAATAGTATACAAAATGATTCGAAATATTCCAGGACATTTGGTTCAGTATCAAGCGAGATATAATAAATTATTCTATTAAACTTCACTTGCCACCCTCAAAATCGCGCAATAATGAACCGGGGCAATAATGATAATTGTAAATAGCATTAACACGCGCCCGTGAAAACAAATCCGAAGCGAAACGAATAAGAACTGACAGAGATACGAATGTAGTGTCTGCTCTGCGCGTGGTCTGTGCGTGGGAAACGTCTTCCAGTGCCTCGCCGCATGTTAAGAAAAATATGAAAAAATGTCAAAGACTTGCGTTGATAATACATAAATTAGTACGCAAATTTATAAAACATTTGGTAAAGTATCAAGTGAGATATAATAGATTACTCTACAGTTTGTGCATGGGAATGCGATAAATCGCTGTAATCTCCTCAGGATCGCCGAACGACGAGTCGGACCAATAATACAACATGTAGAGAACATTGAGACGCACCCATGGAACAAAACCCGACGAGAAACGGATAAGAACTGACAGAGATATGATAGATTTATGTAAAGAATCACCTGTATATGTTTAGTTTGAGGAAATTCACGTGAGCAATTGAGCATAACCTCCCACAACTTTTTTCGCGCACAGACATATGCGAAAAAGTACTAATACCCCCACTCAAAATCGGTTCAAACCCCCCCCATGGGAGCAATTCTTTTTTGTTCCCATGTGACTTTGGCATGTAAAATGGATAAAATAGATAGATAAATAGATAAAATAGGTAGATAAATAGGTCATAATAGTCGTAAATAATAATAATAATAATAGTAGTAAATAGTGAATAAATAATTATAGTAATAGTATTTAGTTATTGTTTTTTGTTGAAAATTGGCATGTACAATAAATGGTAGTATCGTTTTTTTCTTTGTATTTTCGCTATTAGCATGTAAAATAGATAAATAAATAGGAAGTAAGTAAGTAAGTTAAAATCCGGAGTTTCCAACAACAGAGCCAAATGAACTAAGGTTCCAGATAAGGTAAAAATTCGAAAAAATTCACGGCAACATGGAACAACATGAAATAGAAACAACCAAAAATAAAACCAAGGTATTCTATATAGAATAAAATCTGAAAAAATTGCAGCAATGTGGGAAAACCAAGAAAAATAATACCAAGGTATTCTATGCAAATTAAAATCCAGAAAATTCATGGCAACATGGGAGAGTATAGAATAAAAATAAAAGTAAGGTGCTCTCTATAAAATAAAATCAAAAAAATTCACGGCAACATGGGGAACACTGTTTTATAAACTTAGAAGGAATTTCATGTGATGGGGAGTGGTTGGGGTGGTGGGTTTGGAGAAATGGCCAGAAAATGAAGAAAAACAATGCAGGGGCCTCACTCCCAGTGGATTGGGGAAGGTGTTTCTCATTCCTGTGCATGACTAATGGAGTGGGGTTTGGGGCAAGGCCCCAATGGCCCTCCGCAGGAGCAGGGGTTCAAGGGGCTGGCCCCTTGGTGCATAAATAATCACCATATATCTCATTATTTCTTTAGCACATGGGGAACAATAATAACAAGGATGTCATTGCATGGGGCGGAGCCCCAATGGGGTCTGGGGCAACGCCCCAGGGGGGTTCGGGGCGCAGCCCCGATGCCCTCCGCAGGAGCTAGAGACCGAAGAACGCGTGGGTGTGCGAGGAACGAGCACCCCACGGGTTTAAGGTCTCTAGTATACAATGAGTTACAATGTATAAGGAAACTAATCCAAATGAATGAATATAGTTTGTGGACTTCGCGGATAGGTCCGAAGTGACCAAAATAAGTAAGAAGAAAAGGTGTTGTGACCAAGTAGTCACGCTACCGCGGGAATGTGGCTGTCCGGACGAGTTCCTCGCTCGGATGTGGGAATGTGGCTGTACGAAAACTCGTCCGGCCTCCCGTAGCACACGGTTCCTCCAACAATGTGTGGTCAAAACAGGAAATTGGCACAACCATCAATCCCACGGTGTTTGCACCCGTTAAGCTACGTCGTTTCTCGCCGTTTGAGCGTGTGCAAGGACAGCAAATTACGCCGATGTAAAAAATTTTTATATACATACCATAGGATCCTGACCGACGTTTGGCTCAATCCCTGGCTCTCAGCAATATGGAGCATCACCTAAATCCCCTGGGTGTGCTGCTGGATACTGCAAGCAAGTTAAACGGGGTATTGAATGGGAAATCGGCGCTTGCTCAGCTCCGGACAGGCGTTGGTATGAACATGGCAAGGAACCATCAAATTTAAACGTGCTAAAACGATGCAGATATGACTCTTCAAACACATCACTTATGTCACACAGCCGCGGCACATGCATTGATAATTCTGACGCGTGTGTGTCATGAGTATTCCCCAGGCACCCCCATACTTTCATTAGGGGTTGAGAAGTGTGCCGACAAAATTATGGCCGACGTTGAGGTGACACTGTTGGAGAACCCGTGTGCTAAGGGAGCTAGCCACAGTCCCATGGCCGGGTGAGGAACTCGCCCGGACAGCCACCGTCCTTTTCTGTCATTTCGAACTAATCTGTGCCAGGCCACCGATACATTCACTCATTTGAATTAGTTGCATTTCCCCTTAGTTCTCGCGCATTAAGCTTGACTGAGCTACTAGATTAGATCATCCAGTGGTTATGGCATCAGAAACGGCATCATGCTGTCTCACAGTCGTGCTTGACTTAAGATGAGCGCCGGGCAGCTAATGCAATGCATCAACATTATTGTTCAATGGCTATGGGGCACGAAATGAGAGTTCATTTAAAGTAATCACATTCTGGTTAGAGGCCCCAAACGACAGGGGTTTTGTGGGTGGAACTGACTGGAAGCCCATTTGGGAAACTCAGAATAATTTTTCATACGTACAAGACTGGGTTGGACACAGAAGCATGTGGTACAGGGAGGGTGTTAAACGACGGACATCATTCATGATAACGGGGGAACGGTTTTAACTAAGCGCCCGTATTGGGGGACATGTATACTGTCCCATTACGACCATAGGTTCATGTCACATGTCACAATGGGACTTTGAACTACAGTTGTGGACAGGCAAGGGCTTGAAACATTCTGCCGTGAGAACCGCTGCAGCGATAAGCTTCAATTTTCCATTTGGTCATTGCTATCTAAAAATGCGTTCTGTGGGGCCCTAAGACCTTTTTTAAGCGCATGCTAAATCTTGAGTCGAAAAATTTCGGAAATTGATGCTTGTGGAAGCGTGATACAGTGTATTTGTGAATATGATATAAAACCAATTATTTAGCTACCCTTCACCAAGAACGGCATCCATGGCGGCTCTGGCAGCTTCAGAGACTGAATGATGGCTCTTCTGTTTTTTTACTGCCCATTCAGCAGCCTTTCCTGAAAACCCCATTCGATATGCGTCCACAAATCTCCAAGTTCCTTTCTTATTGTGTCAATCGAACATGAATCTAAACATTGTACCACGGCAGCATTGGCATGCGCAAATGTAGGTTTCCAGATCTCCCTATAGCGATATTAGCATAGCCCCTCATCAG